TTGAGACAATTTAGCCAGCAGACGATGGATCTCTATCACCAAGTCATCGCTGCCACTGATGAGTTCTAATGACAACAACAGAGGAAAGTGTGCAAATAAGAAAGAACATTTTGTGATTATTACGTGGCTTGCCACGTTAGTATTTTTTTACTTGTGTTGTTTTAAGTCGTCAAATATATGTTGTTAAAATTATCATTTTCCATCTTATTTTATTCACAAGTTCATTAAGAATCCACAACACCCACAGACTTCATTAGTGGAGTAATAGAAAGCTTACACTTGTCCCCAAAGCAAAAGTCCAGCCACTAGAGAACACAAAACTTGGCTCATAAAATTAATTAATTATTCTATTTGTTTAATAATCAATATTTAATTAGTTAAGTGTGTGGTTTGGAAGAATATTAAAAGTTTGATAGGTTAGTTAGAAATCCCACTTGACATTGCTTGGCAACCTGGTCTACTTTGCCATGATATTGTCTACCACATAAGACTTGTATGATTGAGTGTTCCCTTGGCATCATCTTTCATTCTTCTACTTGGGAAATCAAGTTGATGACATCTTATAGTTATGAGTTACTTTTTGACTACAGAAAAGGGATTTGGCCACTTTTCTATTTTTTAAATTGAAAAGTGCTCAAAAGTGGGCCATCCATTCGTTAATGGGACGGCTAGGAACTGGACACGTGGCCGATACCCAGTTGACTCTTGAAAAACTTTGTTGAGGTGGGATATATATAACTCATGGAAATTTTAGGGACAACAAGATGGACTTATTCTAATCTTCATCAACACAACATTCTCATTTTCTTTTTATTAGACTTTGGACATGCATATATTCATTGCATCAATCCTATATTCTATTCCTATACCTGAAACAAACATTACTCTCATTCTCTCAATAATGAAAAGGATAGTAGTGTTGTTTCTAATTGAAAAATGTTTTGTAAGAAAGGCAGTCACAAATAACAAATTTGATGGACACAATATGTCGGACTTGACAAAATTTTGTGTCTTAGAACTTAATTCCAGTCAAAACAAAAGTAAAAAATAAAAGTGGTTGCCAAATAGACTCTTAGTTAGCATAGCCTACTAGTGTCCTTTCAAATTTAACAATTTTTGTTTGGCTTTTCAAATATAAGTAATGTCAGTTTATTCTGATTATTCTAACATATTTATCTAGTCGAAGGAGTTTCTACACATTTATCGCAGTGAATAAGCTCAAACATGGCCTCCCATTAACAGCATCAAAGGAATAGGAACCACCCTTAAACCTGACAAATATTTTGGTTTCTAAATTGTTGTCATGTGTGGTACAAAAGATAATTTATGAGTGAGAAAATAGCAGTTGTTGTTGAGGTGGAAAACTTAAGCCATTGTTCTTAAAATGATTTAATTTGGATTGGTATATTAGTCATTCGTTCATGAACTAGTCTCTCTCTCTTTTTTTTTTCTTTTTTTCTGAAGTTTAATTATTTGCACATTAAAATTGCCCCTAGAAGAAATCGAAATACTCCTTTTTCGAAAAGAAAAGGAAAATAACCTTCTTAGTTAACCTTGCTCTCATTAAACAGGTATTTAGAAATGTTTTTGCAAGCAGCCCTGCTCTTAAAGTTTTGGCTAGGAATGGAAATTAATGATTAAAACTTAGGGTGCCAATTTCCGAAATTAAGGTATACACAAGACAAAATTGTGACAGTTCATATGTGTGACAGTTCATATGCATCGCCTAGTGATTTCCACAGTGGGGTCAGGTGTGAAGTTTGGACCACTTTCACAGTTTTAAGTTTTCAGAATATATATATATATATATATATATATATATATATATATATATATGTTGGATTGTCAAACCAATGCCTGTAAATTAGTACCATAGAAATAATTTTCAAATGGGTACAAGTAAAATTTGAAGGTCACTCTTTAATTGATGCATTAGTAAAAAAATAAGCTTGGTCGAGGACACTTGATCATCTGCTGTATTAACTATACATTGTTTTAGCAATAAACAACATAACTTTAATGATAAAAAGAGTCATTTTTAAAGATTCAAAAACTATTATTGTCACAACAATTCTTACTTGTAAAAATGAATATATATGTTGTTTAATTAATTATTTAGTGACTTTAGGTCATAAAACTCTCAAATTCAAAGTCAAAATTTGAAGACTAACATAGAGAAGAGAAGAGAAAAGAAAAGAAAAGAAAAGAAAAGAAATCAATAAATAATCTTTTTATGTGATGGTGTAAACTTGTAATTTGTGATATGTTTAAGCATTACAAGGTATTAAGAAATGATTTATTGAGGCGTAAGAGTATACGGTTCAAAATTATCACCTTTTTAATGTTAATGTGTACAAAGTATGTATGTAATTAATGGTAGCAACAAGCCAACAACTAACTATTTAAATAAATGTTTCTTTCAATATTGCTTTTTTAAACAAGTAATGCTATCAATTTAAAAATAAAAAATTAAGCGTGAAGAAAAATATTGTAACAAAAATACTTACAAGAGGATTATTTTTATAGAGGCCATCTAGCAATAATTTTCGGTATCAAATTCAATTGTTTGACTGAATTATATGTTACCATTAAATTCATTAAAGTGAATTATTAAAAGTCATTAAAGTGGTCCACTTTAACACATATGAAAGTTACAAATGATTCGGTCACACAATTAGACTTCACTATTTCCTTTCAAAATGATGTTTCTAATAAAAATTTGAAAAAATGAATAGTAAAAAATAATGTAGTATTTTTAATTCTCTTTCAATACTTTATTTAAGATCCTTACTAGTAAAAAATAATATATCTATTTTTTTCCTTTGGAAAAAAGGGAGAAGACTGCGGGAAAATGCAAAGAAGAATTCCACGAAGGAAGTGAGAAAATGTGAAGCCTACCTAACCATCCCAAGAAAGCAACAAGGAAAGAAAGTGTAAAGCAAAGAAACTGCAGAGAAACAAACAAAGGAAAGCCAGAAAATGGAGAACTGAAAGTAGGCCTTTTTCTAATTGTCAAAGTTTATTTCACCACGCAATGTTAGAGAGAGAGAGAAGAAAATATATATATATATATATATATATATATATATATATATATATATAAATAAAAAATAAAAAAGATAAGATAAGAGAGAGATACAAAGAAATTTACCATGATACAGCCCCACAACACACCAAAGAAGAAAAAGGGAAGAAAACAAAGAATCACAATTTCACACACACAAACACACACAGCTCTGACCTGTCTGCCTTCCTCGTTTACCGTTCTAATGCCCCGCTGACTCTGTCATGACTCATCATTCAATGCCAGCTCATTACCCAAGCTCTTAGCATAATTACCCTTTTTTTTCTTTCTTTTTTTTCTTTTTTTTCTTTTTTAAATTTCAAACTTTTCAACTTTTTCCATTGTCCAATCCATTTTTGGTTTGCTCTGAGTTGTTGTAAATGTAATATGGAGAATCTTAACTACAAATAAATCCATTTAGTTTTAAATTTTTCAGGCTCATCTTGTGTTTAGAGTAATTAAATTTCAGTCTTTGCCACTATTATTATTTTTTATTTGATTAGATAATTTTCATAATGTTTCACCATGTTATTAATAAATTTGTCTGAATTTTTTTCAAAACCACCCTATATAATATTATTGTATTTAAATTTAAAAAATTATGAATCATCTTATCAAACAGAAGAAATTGAATAAAAATTAATTTCGCAAGAACATTGATAATTCGTATTTGTTAGCATATTTAAAATCTGAGTGAAATATGACGAGTAGGAATGTGAATAATATATTTATAAGGGAAAATTATATTTTGGTGACCAAAATTAAACATAATTGTTATATAGTGATCTTAAAGTCAAGAAAAGGCGAATAGTGATCAATCTTGAAACTTAATTGATATTAAGTGACCATTTAAGGATAATTTGGTCAAAAATAATTAAAAGTTTAATAAACATTTTAAAAATAAATTGTAGATGACAAAATTGCCATCCAATATAAATAATAAGTCATTAAATTCATCCTCCTCCTACTCTCTCTCTCTCTAATCCAACGTTTTCTTTTTTCCTTTTTAGTTTATAATTTACCAATTTAAAAAATTAAGATTTCTTTACCAACATTACCTTTTTTTCACCCTTTATATATTTTTCAAGGCTCTCAATCATCTAATATTTTCCTTTTTAGTTTACAATTTAACAATTTAAAAAATTAAAATTTCTTTATCAACATTATCTTTTTTCCATCCTTTATTTATTTTTCAAGGCTCTCCAACATAAACGCTCATAACATTTATAGTGGCAAATCATACTTTTGAAACACCCTTTAACAATTACTAAAATTATGAAATTAATCAACAATAGTTATTTTTTCTTGAACTATAACTAAGTAGTATTAAAAATTCCTAAAAATTACAATCTTATATCTTAAGGAAGATCTCTCAAACAAATCAATTCGTAAAATATAATAACTATATCTTGAAAATAATGAATAAGAAGAAAATTTACAATTTTCTCGTCATGTCTCTTAGAATCTTGAAGAAAATGATATATAATATCCATCATTAGTTCTCTCCCATCTTGATCTTCTTTTCAGAGACTCACCCTAATAATCTGTTGTCTTTTTATTAGTCAATTTAAGTAAGTGTTTATTTAGGTTAATGTAGAGGGTAAATTTATCTACTTATAAAATAATATATTATAAGAAGGCTATTTAGGTAATAAATCATCAAATGGTCACTATTCATCTTTTTTTGACTTTAAAGTCATTATATAACAATTATATTTAATTTTGGTCACCAAAATATAATTTTCTCTATTTATAATTTATGTAAAATGAAACATAATTAATATGTTGGTATTTATCAGGTCAACCACTTGATTAAGAAAGCTCAAATGACTAATTGAGTAGTAAAATCGGAGTGGTATTAGCAACACACAGTTTTTGTTGCTATTATGTACAGTTTACTAATCTTCTTTCTTCTGACTCTTCCTCCGTATATCTGACATTTACAACACTCGATGCCCCATAAAGAAGTGTGAGCGGGAATCTAACACTTTCTCTCTCTAAAAGCCGAAATAAAACCCCCACATTTTATGCCTCTCTTCCCGCTTTCGTTTTCAGTCTCTGTTCACTCCAATCTCTTTCATGGCTTCTTCTTCTAACCCTAACACCCACAACAAAATGCTCTCACCGTCAACCTCCAGACCTTACGACCCGACCTCGACACCCAACACCACCTTCGTCCAAGCCGATCCGTCAACCTTCCGGGACGTGGTCCAGAGACTCACCGGAGCCACCCATGACCCGTCAGCCCACAAACTCCCCGTCACATCCCCAGCACGCTTCGCCGGGAAAACCACCTCCGGCGAGATGGGTCCCCGGAGACCGGCGTTCAAGCTTCACGAACGGAGGCAGAGCGCGAGAAAACTCGAGATCCAGCTCAACAACGGTGCCGGGTCATTCGGTTTGGGTAGTGACTCGTGTCCTAGTACTAGGCAAAGGAGCTTTCTAGGGTTTGGTGGTGAGATGTTAATGGTGTCACCTGTGTCACCTCTGGATCTGTTTATGCGCGGGAGTCCAAGAACGCCTAGGTCACCCTCGGAGGAAGAAGACAGAGCCATTGCAGAGAAGGGTTTTTACTTGCACCCGAGTCCACTCAGCACGCCCAGAGGATCCGAACCCGAATTACTCCCTCTGTTTCCTCTTCACTCACCAAGAGATGATTCATCCTCTTCCTAAATCTTGCTCACCTACCAATAACATAATATATATATATATATACACTGCTATGGGTATTTTTTTGTTTTTAATTTTATGTGTTGTGTTTTCATGGGTATCAAACATGTTGATGTGTTTGTGAAGAAGTATGAAATCGGAGGAATGTTGTAGAATGTTTTACACGCGCTCTAACTGCGCGTGGCTTAGTACAGTTCACATTATTCTGTTATATACCCAAAATGCCCTGGAAGTTCTTACATGCGAAAAACAAAAGGAATGCAGTGCTACATATTTGTGGTGTTTTATTTCATAGATGAACCTAGTTAAGTAGAGTTCGAGGCTGGTTAGTTGCTCTGACAGATTTTTACATTGTTTCGGTGGATTACAATTTGATATGTAAATAAAATGTGTTAGTTTTATTTATTTGTTTGTTTATGTTTATTTTTTTACAAGACAAGTTGTGATCGACGGTATTACGTAATTTTTGTTAAACAACAGAAATGCAGTGTGCATATTAGTGCTGTTTAGTGGAGTGAGTTTAGTGTGAATTGTAAGGAATATGGAGAACTATGTTCCGATTCTAGTGTACTTGGAATTGTTTGGGTCTGGTGTTTGTGAACCTTCTAAGTTTGAAATATTGATTCCGATTCTAGTGTAATAGAAATAGTTGAGTATTTGCAGTGAGATTTGATAGCCCAAGTATTTATTTCTAATGTGGGTTAAGACTGTTTTAGTGTTGAAATTGCACTCTGTTTTACTATTTATTATGTACGTAATTTTTGTGCTTACAAGACTGGTAGAAGTGCGTAATAAATAAAACAAATTGAATTGTCAAGGCGTGACAGACCGTGCGATTTATTCACAATAAATGAAGTGAATTGCGTGGCTACTAGGTCACCGGCTGGGATTTGTCCTTGTGAATTTAATTGGGTTGTGGCAGGAGACTATTCAGTAATGTCATTATTGTTCACCGCAAGTTTGCAACAAAAACTATTTTTTTCCAACGGTCTACCAAATGTTCACACACACACACACACTCCCACACACTCTCTCTCTCTCTCAATTTAGATATTCTGTTTTAAAAATAGTGTTTTGTGAGGCAAAATTTCAGAACATGACATCTTTTTTGGGATAAGAGTAATACTGTCAGAAATGGCAACAATAAAGGAGTAGAATTCAAATCTATTCCAAGGCACTTTACAAATAATTTAACTCATTGAATTAAAATTCAAATTCTCGATCATCAAATAACAAAAATTATCAGTGGGTATGATGGTCACTGTGAGAACAATACCTCGGTGTAGCGAGCATCCATTTGAATTTAGCCACTTAGTGTAATTAAAATGATAGGGTAACAAAATTATTAGAACCATCAAATATTTTTAGGTTAATTATAACGACACTTCATGATATTTGACATAATGACAGTTATATATAGGGGTGCACACGGTCCAATTTGGATCAAATTGGGAGTTTTTTGGGACCAAATCATTTATAACGGTTGCACTATTTTTGAAATCAGACCGAACCATAATTCTCATGAAACCAAACCAAACCAAATCACGAAAAATCGGTTTGGTTCGGTTCGGTTTGTCGGTTTCAGTTGATTTCCTTTTTATTTTATTTTTTAAAAACAGAATTTCTTATTTTTCCATGTATATAAGACATCAACCGGGAACCGACAATTTAGTATATATATTTATTATATATATATTTTCTGATATAATTTGACAAACACTACTATTTCACTTTAGTGTCTAAAGAACCAATAATCTTCTCTGGTCCCTAATGGTTATGCTTTATTTTTGCACCATGTGGTCTCTGATTGTGTAGTTTTTTATTGTTTGGTAATTTTCATATGATGTTTTTTTTATTATGGTCCATCATTTCGTTTTCTTTCTCTCTATTTGATAGCTTTCATCATGGCCTGAGAAAAGTTCAAAGAATATGTCCAGCCAAAACTATAAGTTATATAATGGTTCGGTTTGGGCCGGGCCGGTCCAGCAGGACCCCAAACCAGGACCGGACCGTAAAATTACGGTTTCATAATTTTAGGCCCAAGACTGGACCAAACCGCTATACAACAAGTCCAAACTGTCCTGTTCAGTTTGGTCCGGTCCGGTCCGGTTTTTCGGTTTACCGGATTTTTTGAACACCACTAGTTATATATAAGTTGGCCTATTTTTAGACGAAGATACCTCCTTAGGTTTGATAAAATTAACAAAGACACCCCAATGGTCTAGACACAGTGAATTGACATTATTGCCCTTTAACCCCTTAAATTATCAATTTGCCCCCAAAATAATTCTTTTTAATTGACTATAATACCCTGAGATCCACCCCCACTCATACTAATAAACCAAGCACCCACACTCCATCACACCCACTACTACCACTACATAGCCTCACCATTGTAACGACCCGAACCCGTGGGTCTGAACCGTTAACCAGGTCCTTACCCGAACCCGACGTTACCTAAGTCATTCCCGTCCTTTTTGATGTTAAAACTTCATTCTAAGGCCATAATTGTGTTCCACAACGGCTCAATACAAATTCCCAAAACTTAGGGTAGATTACAATCAGAGAAAGAACAAAAAAACAGAGCAGATGCACTTCGGTCGACCGAAGTGGGGCTTCGGTCGGCCGAAGCAACCTACCCTGTACCGGTCGACTGAAACAGGCATTTCAGTTGGCCGTTTGTGACTTCAACAGTGACTGAAGTCTCTAGATGAACCGGTCGGCCAAAACAGACATTTCGGTCAGCCGAAATGGCTCTGTGTACTATAAACCTACTACTGGATTGCTGTGAATTGTAAAAGTGTACAATGGTCCATGCTAGAGTTTAAAACTGCCGAAATGGCTCTGTGTGCTATGAACCTACTACTGGATTGCTGTGAATTGTAAAAGTGTATAATGGTCTATACTAGAGTTTAAAACTGATCCAAAATCTATTCTATCAGGTTGCAAAATGACTTTCCACATCCCATTCAATTAAAATACAAGTTTTACATGTCTAATACATGATCCTAATGTGATTTACATGTGTTGCACCAACATTGTATCAAGTTTACAACAATTACTAGCAATGAGTCATAATTACAACCATAAGCTACAAAAATTTATACATGCCATACAAGGCTTTGCAAAATGGGATCTAATTACAAAAGGTAACCAAAAGTAGTCTTCTAGTCTAAGCTAAGGCTATGGTGGATTGTCGTTTCCCATTTCTTTTCCATGTCCTGAAAAATGTTAAATATAAGGGGTGAGCAAATTGCTCAGTAGATGGTGCCTAAGACACACCTCTTGTGACCCCATGAATCCAATCAATGAATAGAAATATAGAAAACGGGATCATGCTATGCCGGGGAAATACAACATCAGTTTCAAGTCCAAATGAATAATGCGATGCTATGGAATGCTATGCCATGCTATGTCGCTCCCCATTTTCAAAACCAACCATCACTTTTCAAACTGTTAACATAACCCGCCCCTCGGTGACTCCTCGACGACATGAGAGAACGATTGGCTACTGTCCTTGACCCTTGGTACCCCCGCGACGTCATTTGGGGCCCAGATAGCTCAACCACGCTAGGGTGATTTCCCTAGTTCCTTCTAGGTCATATTAACGCCATGGACCATTGGTACCTCCTCGGCATCCGGGTTTTCTCAAAAACCCTTTTGTCAAAACCTCTCCCAAAAACCCTTTTTTCATCTCTTTTAAAACATCATTCCTATTTCTTTCCCCATGCCTCTGCATGTATGCATCATGCCATGTCAATAATCATCATTCTACAACTAATTCAAATTTAAACTAAATAACATGCTTTACAAGAAAATTCTAAGGAAATTACAACATTTTTTTCATTCAATCATAATCTAGCATGCATATAAAACATGAATTTAACCCATACAAGTATGCAATTTCAAGTATTTTCAACTAAACACATAGCCACATGCTCCATTTACAACAATTTATTCATTTTGGAAGAAATTCAACATAAATTAACATGTTAGACAACAATTTAGGAGGAAAATTTACAAAGGAACAAGAAGTTTTATGGATTAGAAACCTCTACCTCAATTTTGTAGAAAAATCCTCAAAATGGGTCCAAAATTCAAAATTCCTAAAGTGAACCAAATGATGAATTGCTTGTATCAATGAGTAGATCTCGTCAGGCTCTCCGTTTTGCCGCAAACGGCACCCAAAAATTCCAACAATTGAGAAAGTAATTGAAGAGTGAAGTTTGAGATCAAAAGAAAAAGGAAAAGAGAAGAAAAGTGTGGGGAAGAGAAAGCCTACAGGGAGAGAGAGAAGAAATGAGACCAAATTGGTCTTTTGGCCACAAATTAATGTTAGTGGGGTGGGTCCCACCACTAATGAAAAAAAAATTTCTTTTAATTTTTCCTCCACAAATTATACATATATGCACATTTACCACATAGTTACCACATAAAACATATAAAATAAAATATGAGATGCAAATGATCCCAACTAAAATCCCCGTACACAACGATTTCGGTAACGGGTCCCACCTGAAACTATCTGGCCCGAAAAACGAAAAAAATGAAAAAATAACCACCACTTTTTTTTCAAAGAGTTCTAAACTCAATGAAATGCCCCAGCCAACTCAAAGACACACCCGGCACACACCATGGTGTCCGGTACACAAAACGAGAAAAGACGAAAATACCCTTGCCAGAAACAGAATATTCCGAAAATGAAAAATGATAAAAATTGAAAACATTACAACCATAGCCACCACCACCTATATTATTGAATGCCAAATTCTAGTCAATTAAAAAGAAACTTCGTTGGCTTAATTTAATCTTTTGTTTCATTGTTGACTTTTGACTGGGTTCATTTAATCTAAACTTTGTTGAATAACATTTGATTAGTTTGTAGTTAGAATCTATGATGACCGTAGTTCAATTTAGAGGAATTTATTTTGCCAAATTCTGTTCGTGTTATGTAAAGTTTTCCATAATCTTAAAATTACCGATGTGCAGACCCTTTAAGTAATAATGTGCACAATTTTTTTGTAAATTCTTTAGCAAAACTCTGATTCCATTTCCTGGAATTATTGGGTTCATTTTATGTTCCCACAGTATATATATTAACAAATTATTGTTGAAAACATTTTATTGTATCAATAGAATCGGTTGGACAAACAGATTCATACGCCCTCGTCTACCTTGCCAGTGGCCAAGATGGATCATCTCCATTGACGATCCACGATGGCAAAATTAACGACAACAGCGGTGCTGGTGGTGGTGAGTGGTGATTGGGTTGATTTTGATTTGGAAATGTGAAAGCCTTTGTGGTAGTTGGGAGTAAGAACAGAAGGGTCTGTCGTCGCCAGCGTAGGACCAATAGTCTCTGATGGCCACTAATCAATTAGGGTTTGATTAGAAACCTAGGCAGTAGTGAGTGGTGGTGGGTGAAATCGAAGGGGTAGGTTTTTTCTTGGGTTATCTTCAATTAGGTGGCGGGCGGAGGTTGGGGCGTCGATGAGGGTGGCGGCGGCTG